AACAGGATAGAATTCTCACAATCTGCTCTGGAAAGTTAGCGTTATATGAACTTTTGCAATGATGAAAGAATGTTAACTGAAGAATGGCAGCTGAGAAAGAAAGTTAAGTCTTTGATTCAAAAGAAGTCTGGTACAATTTTTTTTCAGATTAAAACAAAATTATTAAAAAATCATAACATTGATTTATTTCTTTGTTTTCTGTTCTTCCTTTCCTCCAGGAACCCAGAACAAGTTGCACAGGGATCTGTTTTCATATGATTACAATAAGAGTAGGAGATACTGTAGCTGGCTAGCTAGCTAGTTAGCTAGATGAATGGATGGATGGATGGATGATGGATGGATGAGTAGATGATGGATGGTTAGATAAACAGATAGATAGTAGATAGATAGATAGATAGATAGAGAGAGAGAGAGAGAGAGAGATAGAGAGAGAGATAGAGAGATAGAGAGATAGAGTAGATAGATAATAGGTAGATACAGAAGGTAGATAAGTAGGTAGGTAGGTAGATGACAGACAGACAGACTGGGCTCCCATACTCACCTTTATCCACTGAATTTGAAGCGCAGCTGCTTTGCACAGCACAGAAGAGTGCCGTGCGGCAGCTGCTGAAGCTACTGGGATCATGCAGGCTTGAGTTAGAATGCCTCTGCCGCCTGCGCAAACGCCTCTGCGCCTGTGCAAAGTGTGCATTTGGCACCCGCATGCATGCAAAGTGTGTGCATGTGTGCAAAGCATGCCCACCAAGCTACGCCCACCAAACTGGGGGCAAAAATATTTGAATCCCACCACTGGTTGCAACCAAGAATTAGCTTGAATGGTTTTCTGCTTGCAGAGGTCAAATAACTGCCATGGGTTTCAACAGGATATGAAGAGCTCCACCACAAAAGCTACACACCTCTAGCTTTCAACTAGACATTTCTTCTGTTGGTTTGAAAAGCAAAGGCACAACCTCGAATCTGAAAGACTCACTTATAAATCCACTGGGATTTAGGGGAGAAAAAAGGCATAAGAATGAATGATAGTGAATTGAAATCTTCTTAGAATATATGTTGGAGAAGCAAGTGGGGGTGAACCTTCTCTTGCCTATTTGTTCACCCTGGAGTCAAACATGGCTGGACAGGGAAGCCTTTATGTTCTGTCCCCACTACACATTAGTCTGTGTGCAGCTCAGCCAATAAGTTTAAGATTCATATTTTATTTGGATCCCTCCTTGGAAGGAGGCTGAGTAGAAAAATGTTTCCAGGTCTTCTAAAGTATAATTACAGATGCGTACAAGGGAAGGAAAATGAGCACATGGCTTAACAGCTCTGTTCCTTGTTTTTTTTTTCTAGCCGTCGAGCAAGACATTTAGCAAGTCTGTAGTAAATTACCATCTGTACATCAGCATGGCCTTCCTGGCTTGCCAATTTTGTTTTACTGTCCGAGGTGTCCTTCACAGCATCAGACACGATTATTTCGTCTTTTAAATTGGGAACATGGCAAGAAAAGAGAATTTCATCTGTTTTTTTTCCTCCCCTCATGTTTTCCTTTAATTTGCTAGAAGTGAAAATTACCATATTTTTCAGAGTGTAAGATGCTCCAATGTATAAAACGCATCTAACTTTTGGGGAGGAAAACAAGAAAAAAACAATCTGCTTCTGCCTCCCAGCAATTTGCCTCCTTGCAGCAAACAGCAAACAGCCTGTTTCAGCTTCGGCACAGCCTGATTAGCACAAGCAGCTGCTTGTCAGTTGGATCAGCCTCCCAATGATCAGCTGTTTCAGGATGCAGGGATCACCATCGCCCATCGATGCATCCATGCGTCCCATTTTCGGCCTCCGCATCCTGTTTGCAGCCTCTGTGTGCCCCATTTTCTGACTGTTTCAGGCAGCGGAAGAATGGATGGAAGATGGGGTGCGTGGAGGCTGAAAATGGGGTGTACAGAGGCAGCAATCGGCAATGGCAATCCCTGCAGCCTGAAACAGTTGATCGTTGGGAGGCCGATCCAACCGACAATCAGCTGTTTGTGCTATGCCGAAGGCTGAAACAGGCTATTTGCTGCAAGGAGGCAAATTGGATGGGAGGCAGAGGCCAAAGGGTGGGGGCCAGCAGGTAGGCAGGGCTTCGGCAACATTTGCTGTATAAGATGCACAGACATTTCCACCCACTTTTGGTGGTGGAAAAAAAATGTGTCTTATACTACGAAAAATATGGTATTCTTTGGCTCTGAAAAGGAGTTGAGTTTTGAAATTCCACTTTGGCATCCTGTTGATAACAATGGCTGTTTTTTTTTTCCCTTTCTCTCTCTTTTTTTTTCTCTTTTTCCTATTTGCTTCCCACCAGCTGAGAGAGAAAGGTTCTGTTTGAATAGCTTAGGTAGTGTTGCTTGCAGAGGACAAACCCTGAAAGCATTCATGAACTTGGTTAGTGCGGGAGTGGGGGAGAAGAGTTGGAGGATTGTGGGTTCTTCTGGACCACCGACTCACATATTATTTGGGCCCTGATGCTGTTAAAACCAGTTGTGAGCTTGGAAAAAAAAGAGAAATCTCAACGAGATTCAAAAATCAACCAATCTTTCTTTATTGCTATCTCAAATGCTAAAGGCATTAATTAAATCATCTGTAGCCCTCAAGCCAATGTTGGGAGAAATGTCCATCTGATTCAATTCCAAGCTGAGAGAAAGACACTGGAGACATGGAGGCTGATTGAAAAGATGGTTTATTGATGGACAGGACCACATAGGTTTGAGGTCCTGGGCAGCTGACCACATGGAGTGGAGAGTGAGGGGTATTTATACCTTCTCTTGGGCTTTGCACTTGAGCTTCCTGTTCCTGTGCAAGAACATGTCTTCTATTGTCTGTTGTAGGGGTCATAGCTGGCGTGTAGGTTGATTGAGCTCTCAGGTTTGGTTGAAGTTTGGACCCTAATGCATCATCATTTTTAAAAGTTACAAAAAGTGAAAACTTATCTTAGAGAAGCAAAATAATTTTTAAATCTACATCTCTGGGGAAAAAATATCAAAGTGATTTGACTTTTTCTCTGGGTATGAGAAAGGAAACTTTGTTTAATGAGAATAAAAATTACCTTGTCAACAATGCTGAATCAATCAATGTTTGCTGAAGGAGTTCACCAGATGGCAACTTGCTGTAACGTCAATATTTAAAATGTTTTGTACGTTCAGGAGGAAATGTATGTTATGCACATGTGTAATCTATATATCTATGGTAGGCCTATCTATCTCAGCATTAAATATATGTCTGCGATCTACAAAAAGATTTTAATAGAGCAAAAATTGCTGCATTTCCTCTTTACAGTTATTTATAAATGCGTATTTCCCATTGCAATGTTTGAATTTTCTAAGCAGGATATATTAGCCTTCTTGGATTTATGATTTGGTCTTAAGAATCCATTCTTGGAAAAAGGAGACTTTTTAACATTGCCTCTGAAGTATTTAGACTTTACTCTGAAGATACTAGGTATATTAGAACATAATATTATTAACCGTTATTAACTAAATGTGCTGTCCAACTCTCAGCTTCTCTGAGCAGGTTCCCCAGCCGACTTGCTGGGTGGACAGTTTTGGGAGTTGTAGTCCACCCATCTTGAAATGATAATGGTTGAGAAACACCGCTCTACACGCAGAGAGTAAAATTCTATATTATTATCAAGGAAACCTCATGGAGCTGATCCTAAGGTTATCAAGAAACTGAACTTAATTTTAAGATGAGTTTAATAGCATCTGTACCGTGCCTCTGTCAGAGCCTGAATCCACAGAGGAGGATGAGCCAGAGCTGGGGCCAACAGAGGTGCAGGAGGCAGCCTCGTTGGCTTCAGAGGAACATGGGGAGGAGCTGGACGAGGCATCCCCAGGCCCTTGGGATTGGGATGGTTTGCCAGCAGGGAGGAATGTGGGGAGGATGACTGAAAGAGGGCAGGCAGTGGAGATGAAGAGTGATGGACCTTAGGTGATGAGCAAGCACCGCCCCCCTCCTGATACCCTATCACGGAGAGTGGAGAGGAGGCAGGAACAGTGCAGGCTGACCCAACTACTCAGAAGGAAAGCACCCTGCCCCTCTTCACAAGGCACACCTGGGGACTGAGACTTAAGGAGACGATGTGGAGAGGGGTGTTGAGGTAATTCCCCATTAGGAGAATGAGCGCATACAGGGAGACGTATTTGAGAGTAGTGTTTGAATAATACACATACAGCACACAGATACACTGTACAGTAAATGTAGGTTTTTACTTCCAGACAGTTTAAGCAAAGTTCAAGATAAGCAGTCCAAAAGTCATTCACAGGTAAATCAGTCAGTTTTTCAATCCAGGGATAATCCAAATATCAAAGTCCAGTGTGAAAAACAGTTCAGTAACAGACTTACATTAAATCCAGAAATAGCCGTCAATTAGGAAAAATGGAGGAACGGCAACACTTTCCAACAGAAGGAAACAGAGATACACTCACACTCTCTTCTGAGACTCAGACTCAGACTAAAAGAACCCAGGTTTCTGGCTCCATCTTATGGCCGTTTGAGTAACCACACCCAATTGCAGTTTTTTAGTATGCTCTTAAAGAGACAGTATTAAAATGTCTATCCTGGTTTATATATTTCTAACCCAAATACCTGTTAGGTGACTTATATTCCTAACAAGGGGCATTTGTTGGGAACAAACACTGAATTTGTGGAGTTTTGTGTGCCAGTACAGACATTTGGAGTTTGTTGGACTTCTTGTCATATTCCTTCTTTCCTGGATTAATTGCCTTCTTCCTTTGCTTCCTGGACTCATTGGTTTATTGCCTTGCCCTGCTGGACGTTTTGCTTTGAAGCTGTTGTGCTAACTGTTTTGCTGCACTACTTGCAGCCAGAGGCTGCTGGAGGTGTGTATCTGTGTGTCTTGCCATAAATGTGTGAGCATTTGGGGGAAAGTTGGAGCAACAAAGGGGTGTTTTGAACTATCCATGCCTTGTCCAGGTCACCACAATCTTTTTAAGTAGGTATATTTGTGTGTTTTTTTCTTCCAGATTTACAACATGAGTTATCCAGGGTACCCACCTGCAAGCGGATATCCACCTGGGGGTGGTTATCCACCTGGGGGTGGTTATCCACCTGCGGGTGGTTATCCACCAGCTAGTGGATATCCACCTGCTGCTCCAGGTAAGTTAGTTTCTTTCTTTTTCATTTAAGATCTGGTTGTTAAAACAGTTTGGTGGCAATTGACCCATAACAAAAGAGGGAGTAATGGGTACAGAAAAGATGCGATCGAATGTCATCAGTAGCACTACGGATTCCCAAAGCGGAAGTAGCACATTCTAGGGAGCAGCGCAAAACAAGAGATTGCATAGTCCTGAACTGAATGGGGAAGAGAGGAAAAGGTTCAGGGCAGCCACACTCTAGAACCTCCCAAGTTCTAGGGAATATACAGTATTGTTTGAAGATTATCACTTTAGTCTGGCAAGATTCTGTCTAATAGGACTAAGCCAGGGGTGTTAAACTCTCATCATCACAGTGGTGTCACATGATGTATTGTGACCTTCCCCCCTTTGCTAAACCAAGCATGGGCGTGGCCAACACATGATGCATCAGGCTCACGGGCCGTGAGTTTGACAGCCCTTGTCTAAACAAATAAAGAACTGGATTCAATTGGATCTTTTTGTCAACTTTTGGCTTAGGCCTGATCAATGCTCTTCTTCTTGTATGTCACATTGAGATATTTTATTAATTGCAACATGGAGTGATTCCCAACCTAGGTCAAGGAGAATGTGTTCCTGCATATCTAGAATGTTGAGTTGGTTAGACTTCTGGGCTTATCTCTTGTTTTTAATCTTATGATACAGATCAGAGAACTGTACAAGTGTACAACTGTGTCAGCTGGTCACAATAAGCCAAACCTACAGAATATAGAATAACAGTCCTGAACTGAATGAGGAAGAGAGGAAAAGGTTCAGGGTAACCACAGTCTAGAATCTCTCAGGTTCTAGGGAATGTAGAGTATTAAGTCTGAGGGTTATAGCTTTAGTCTGGCAAGATTCTGTCTATTAGGTCTAAGCAAATGAAGAACTGGATTCGATTGGATCTTATTGTCATCACTTGGCTTAGGCCTGCAAAAAATAATAATAATTACAGACTAACAAAGTTGAAAGGGACCACAGAGCTCTTCTAGTCCAACTTCCTTCTCAAGCAGGAGACTCTGTACCATTTCAGACAATATATTTATCCAATATCTTCTTAAAAACCAGCAAGGAAACACCACAACTTCTTAAGAGAGAAAGCCTGAAAGAATCCTCTTCCTTCAAGAATTTAGTACCATGCATTTCTTTGCTAAGAATACTACTGTATTCTGTAAGTTGTTATTCTAGTTATAGATCCTTAACAGTTGAGAACGTTCAACAAATATCTTACTACATCATAGGGTGGGTGGGTGATGGCCCCTTTCTTTTTCCTGCAATCAATTGCTTCTTGGTGAGGATGATAGAATTCATTCTGCTGCTTGTTGTAGACTAGAACATCTCTAGCTCCATTATTTATCCTTGAGGGTTAGAGTCAAGATTAGAACAGAGACTAAATAATTAGAGAAAAAGGACTATATCTAGTTTCATCAACAGGTAGCAAAGCAGCTACCAGGACTAGCATTGTTTCAGTGACTAGTCCTCAGCTAATATTCAGCTAGGTTGTGTGTTTTCACTCATTTGTGGTGCTTTAACTTCCAGGCAGTAATCCCTGGGGTGCCCCCAGCTACCCTCCTGCAAACCCTCCTCCAATTGGATTAGAAAATGTTGGGAACTATGCTAATCAGTTTAATCCGGATTATATGGCTGGCATGGTAAGTAATTCCAGTTTGAAGCTGAAGCATCTTAGCGTACCATCTGAAGCAAATTGTGGGAATTGTGTTCCCCAGTTTTGCCTTCTGTTGTTTTTCTATCATCTTAAGGAAGTTAGGCAACTTCTAAATCTAATTAAATAGGAGTAAAGGGTTTAGATCCTGGAATTTGGGCATTGTTAGGGCTATTATATCTGGGTTGTAACCGGAAAATGTGTTACCAAACACTTGAGGAAGATTTTAAGATTATTAATGTCCCTTGGGACAATGCCAAAGATGCTGTGAATGATCGAAACGCTGGAAAACACTTGCCTCCCCATGTGCTCTGCTCAGGACCTGATGATGATGAACCCAAATACTCTTTAATTGTCTATGGGTTAGACAACTAGATAGTAATCAAGAAGTTCAGAAAATGTTTTTTCCTACCATCTGAGAGTTGCTTGCAACTTTGCAGTTGTTCTTATGACAGTGCCACCATCATCATCATTTAAATTTATTGGCCGTCCAATTCCATGTTATTATGTCTTTCCTCTAGAAGCTCAAAAGAATATACATTGGAGACTCCTTTCATGTAATCCTCACACCAACAACTTCTTGATGTTGGTTGGGCTGGGAGGGACAGGCCCAAGACACCCGGTGAGTTTCCATCATTGAGGATGGGCTGGGTTGGCCTTAGTTCTAGTCCAGCATCTTAACAACTGAGTCGTGCTTGTATGGAGATACCAAAGATGCTTTTTTTAAAAAAGCCACTGAACTTTCTTTGGTTTTTTTTTCCTTGAAGACCCAAAGGTGCTTTTTTTTCAAAAGGGAACTGGACTTTCTGTTTTTTCTTTGAAGACGTTTCGCTTCTCATCCAAGAAGCTTCTTCAGGTCTGACTGGATGGTGGCGAATGGAAGAATTTATATTCTTTACAAACAGTTAGTCATTTGCATCCTTTTAGAGAAGGGGTCATCAAACATGACAGCCTTAAGACTTGTGGATTTCAACTCCCAGAATTCCTCCTCCAGTCATGTTTGCTCAGGAATTCTGAGAATTGAAGTCCACCAGTCTTAAACTTGCCAAGTTGGAAGACCCTTGTTTTAGAGGGTTGTTGAGGCCACTTGGAGGTTTACCTGTGTCCTCAGGGTCACCTTTATACTGCAAATCGGTGTGGAGCCTTCTTGGAACTGTAGGCTGGCGATAGATGGTGTCATTTCCTTCCCTCTCTGTTGAGAGAGAGCTGTTCAATTTTGATCTAGATGGCCTTTTTCACCATCCAGTCGGAGCTGAAGAAGCTTCTTGGATGAGAAGCAAAATGTCTTCAAAGAAAAAATAGAAAGTCCAGTTGTCTCTTGAAAAAGCACCTTTGGGACAACCATGACCTGAATGACTGAGAATAATCTCCATAGACATTTTACTCAAAGATGTTTGGCTTCTCATCCAAGAAGCTTTTTCAGTGAGAATTGAAGAAACTTCTTGGATGAGAAGCGAAACGTCTTCAAGGAAAAAAAGAAAGAAAACTCAAGGAAAATCTAGTTGCATCTGAAAAAAGCACCTTTGGGGACAACCAGGACCTGGATGACTCAATCTCCCTAGATGCATAGGCACCAGGCAACTTCTCAATGCAATACAATCAAGAGAACTGAAACCGTTCATCTCCTTCCTTTCCCCCCCATTTCCTACTACACTCAGACAATGTTGTCCTCTTGACAGCACTGTGGAGAAGAAGTTTGCTGGCACGTTGTGGTGGTACAAAAGGTCCTTGGTCTTTGAGTACCTGGTGGTGTTTTTTTTCTTCCAGGCTTCCAATCTGTCTGGCACGTTTGGCGGTGCCAATGTGCCCCAGGGACTGTATCCTTCAGCGCCTGGGGGCTACCCTTCTGCAGCTCCAGGAGGATTCGGACAACCTCCACCACAGGGCCAGCAGCCTTACGGGGTCTACCCTCCACCCCCCGGAGGAAACCCTGCAACAGGGATGCCGTCATATCCATCATACCCAGGTGGTCCGATGGCACCTGCAGCAGCCCAACAGCCTCAGCCAGTGCCATATCCTGGGCAGCAGCCCATGCCAAGTTACCCATCTGGTCCAGCTGTTAATCCTTCGATGCCATCCTACCCAGGTCCTTCCATGCCCACCGTCACCCCTGGAGTAGTAAGTTTCTTCCTGTATATTTTGTCATTCTCCTTTTAGTAGGAAGGGGAAAGAGGGCAGGTGCTAAATCTGGGCAGCATAGACTTCGTAGTTTCTGAGAACATGAGGTCCTGTCACACCAGAGGTGGTATTCAGCAGGTTCTTCTGGAGAATCGGTAGCAGAAATTTTGAGTAGTTCAGCTAATACCGCCTCTGACTGGCCCCGCCAACCCCACCTATTCTCCGCCTCCCATTGAATCCCAGGTGATCGACTGGGTCTCCTTTGGTTGCCCCGCACAGGAGAACAGAGCTGGAAAGCAGGCTAGTGGGGTGGGGAGGAAATGGGGATTTTGCAGTATCCTTTCCCTGCCATGCCCACCAAGCCACGCCCACCAAGCCACGCCCATAGAACTGGTAGTGAAAAAAATTGAATCCCACCACTGTGTCACATGGTGTGATGTGAAAGGGACAGTCCCTTCAATAGAGTGACAAAAGTCTTAAGTGTGGCCCACAATGGTGTATTTTTCTGCTGTGTCTTCAGCTTGTCCCTTGCAAGGACTTTCTCTTCTGCCTGATTCCAGGGATGGAAGTTCTCACACATTGTGTTCCTGAACTTCCATCCTGATCTGGGAAACTGTGCTGGAAGGAATCTTAATCTCCTTACAAAGCAAAGATTTGAATTCTGAAGATAAATCCAAGATAAATTCTTGGGGAATATCTCGGATTATTGCTTGTGTGAGTTTTACCTGTCATAGGTGGCCAGTATTCTCAGAAGTTTAATTTTTAGCAATTTAAACCATTTATTGAACTACCCATTTATTTAACAACTTATATAGGGCCCATAGCCCTCCCATGGTATCCAGTTACAACTTCAGATTCATGTCACCACAAGGAAAATAGATGAGTCACCCATTTTCAAAAGGCAACTGGACTTGTTTTTCCTTGAAGACATTTCGCTTCTTATCCAAGAAGCTTCTTCAGTTCTGGTGAGATGAGTCATCAGACAATTTTATTAGCTCGTTCTTGCCTGCATTGGAAGAAGTAAAGATTTGGGGCCAGGAAAATTATATTTGTATGAGTGTCTCTCTCTCTTTGTGCGTGTGTGTGTCGTCCTCATTTAGTTACTACCTCATTTAATGACCAGTTGTAGTTACAAAGATGTTGAACAAAGAAACTTGTGACCAATCCTGATGCCAGCTGATGCCATTTGCTTTAATGTTCAGTTTTCACCATTCTGTCCTCTCTCAAAACTTCTTGACAAGCAGATAGCCATATAAATTGATAAACTTGGAGGGGACAGAGAATGAGTTTGTTGTTAATAGTTTTTTAATATACATTTTATTACATTTTCACCTGTTAATAGTTTTATATGGTGCTGAAACTATTGTATATCCCTTTTATGCTCTACTTCTTGTATGTCACATTGGGATATTTTATTAGTTGCAACATGGAGTGATTCCCAACCTAGGTCAAGGAGAATGTGTTCCTGCGTATCTAGAATGTTGAGTTGGTTAGACTTCTGGGCTTATCTCTTGTTTTTAATCTTATGATACAGATCAGAGAACTGTACAAGTGTACAACTCTACCAGCTGGTCACAATAAGCCAAACCTACAGAATATAGAATAACAGTCCTGAACTGAATGAGGAAGAGAGGAAAAGGTTCAGGGTAGCCACAGTCTAGAATCTCTCAGGTTCTAGGGAATGTAGAGTATTAAGTCTGAGGGTTATAGCTTTAGTCTGGCAAGATTCTGTCTATTAGGTCTAAGCAAATGAAGAACTGGATTCGATTGGATCTTATTGTCATCACTTGGCTTAGGCCTGGCAAAAATAATAATAATTACAGACTAACAGAGTTGAAAGGGACCTCAAAGCTCTTCTAGTCCAACCTCCTTCTCAAGCAGGAGACTCTGTACCACTTCAGACAAATGGTTATCCAATATCTTCTTAAAAACCAGCAAGGAAACACCAGAACTTCTTAAGAGAGAAAGCCTGAAAGAATCCTCTTCCTTCAAGAATTTAGTACCATGCATTTCTTTGCTAAGAGTACTACTGGATTCTGTAAGTTGTTATTCTAGTTATAGATCCTTAACAATTGAGAATGATCCCATTCCAGACAAATTGCTGTCCAATCTCTTCTTGAAAACCTCCAATGATGGAACATTCACAACTTCTGGAGGCAAGTTGTTCCACTGATTAATTGTTCTCACTGTCATGAAATTTCTCCTTAATTCCAAGTTGCTTCCCTCCTTGATTAACTTCCATCCATGGCTTCTTGTCCTGCCTTCTGGTGCTTTGGAGAATAGGTTGAGCCCCTCTCTTCTCTGTGACAACCCACCTAAATATTGGAAGACTGCTATCATGTTACCACTAGTCCTGCCTTTAGCTAACTTTAGTTCCTTGAGTGTATGATTAATGAATATTTGGTGTTTTCCTTGCATTACTACAGTCTGCAAAGCGAGGCACGGTCCATGATGCTCCATCTTTTGATCCTTTGAGGGACGCAGAAGTCTTGAGGAAAGCCATGAAAGGGTTTGGTGAGTAATCCGTGTCTGGCCTTTTTTCTTTTAATTATGGAAGGCCAGCACTGTCCACTCTTGGTTTCTCTAACTGGTGTTGTGGCCACCAGCAGAGCTTGCAGCATACTCATACAGTGAGGAGGTTGGGGAGGAACATGGGCCGGTCCTGGAGTCTGGGGAAGACTCTGACGAGGGCTCTGCATCAGAGGCAGAGATGGGGCCAGGGCCATCTGACAGTTGTCAGCTGCCTTCAGAGTCAGACATCAGTGAGGCAGAAGAACAGCTGGAGCCTGTTCCCAGTGTGCACATGCACAGAGTTGCCAGAAGAAAGGAATAGCTGAGGAACAAGGGCCGACTTGGAAGTAAAGCCATAGGTGGACAGTGAATAGCCCCTCCCATAAGGAATAAAAGAGGAACAAAAGGGGAGCGGGTTTTGCAGGAGACAATTAGTTCATTCTGGCATGCTTGCCAAGTCTTGCGATGTCTGAAAGATATCAGCCTGGCCCCTCTCCAAGCCTGATAAAGGCCTGTAATTGGAAACTATCTTGAAAGACTGTTGGCCAGGACCTTGTTGGATAGGAAATTCATTGTAAATCAAATAAAGGAGGTTTATTTAGGACGAGGACTCGGCTTTATGCTCTTGGGGAAGCCTCGGTCATAACAACTGGTACCTTTGGATGAAGCTTAAGAACTAAATATTTTACATTCCTGCTTAGGAACTGATGAACGGGCCATTATCGATTGCCTTGGAAGTCGCTCGAACAAGCAACGCCAGCAGATTTTGCTCTCATTCAAAACAGCTTATGGGAAGGTGAGACCCATAATAATGATACATATATCATTATTCTACTGCACATTTTCCTACTTAGGGCCTGCATCTGCACCCTGCTAGGTAGTTTTGCCTGGCCTTGAAAAATTAAGTATTCCAATCTGGTTAGAACATGAATCAGAAATATAGCTATAAAGATTGGCAGAGAAGAAAGAGATAAAAGCTGAGGCCCAAGAGAAGCAAACAATATAGTCTCTATAGCTGTCCTTTTGCTTGATTGAGAACCTGTGGCTGGTGTAGAACGTGCCATCCAGTTTGCTGAAAGGGACATCCAATGGTGAACATCTTATCCCTCTGTTGAAAAAAGGCCACACGCTAACAGTGGTCTACCAAGTCACATTTTCAGTTTTGTTTCGTATGTTTAAAGAGGCATGGTGCACAGTGGTTTGTTGCAGGCTGACTCTGCCAGCAGTTCGATTCTGATTGGCTGGAGGTTGACTCAGCCTTCCATCCTTCCAAGGTCGGTAAAATGAGGACCCAGATTGTTGGGGGCAAGAGGTTGACCCTGTAAAACCACTTAGAGAGGGCTGTAAAAGCACTACGAAGTGCTATATAAGTCTAAGGGCTATTGCTGTTGCTATTAAGATCATGAAGGATATACCTTACTACTGTTGTGGGCATGTGAACTCAACAGACGTACATGAAACAGTTCAGGCAATTTCAGAAGGTCCCAAGAAACATAATGGGTTAACACATTACCAAGGCTAATTGATGACTGTCACCAAGATACTGCCGTACTACTCATATTAGTACTCAAAGTGGTATCTCTATTGACAAGCAGTGAGGAATAAGGACTTTTCATCCTCCATCCCTGTCCACATTTCTATGCAGGTCCTGCCCACCGTCTTGAGAAATGAGCTGATGTAGATAGTGTGGCACCCAGTTCACAAAAGTTTCTCACTTCCCACATGGCTCGATTCTCAAACCCTGCTCACAGCCACACAAGAAGCAATGGTGTGTGTGTGTGTGTGTGTGTGTGTGTGTGTGTTTAGTATGGGTTGGATTACAAGGGAATGGGTAATGGAATGCAAGAGCACTGACTCTGCAGAGAGGTGACCTGCTGCGAAAGTCCAAGAGAGTCTGTTTTCCAAACAAACGGAACGTAATTGGTTGGATGGAATAAAGTGACAATGAGAGATCTATTTGTGTATGAAAATTTTAGAATTGGCTTTGCTACTTCCATATCCATGGCAGCAAATGATACTCTTGCCAACAAAAAGTGGCTTCTTTATCTGCTGCACACACTGAGTGTGATGGTTGACACCCCTTGTTGTGTGGGACTCTTTGTCTCTGACCTTTCATATCACTGAAACATAAATATTTGCCATAGAATATTTTATGTTATCATAAAAGAGGACCTGACCTGGGGGGCTTACATTGCAGCACAGATCAAAAGGGCCTGGCAGAGATTATACTATCTGAGACTTCTCAGAAAACAACAACTGAATGAAAAACTGCTGGTGACCTTCTACTGTTGCACCATAGAAAGTATCTTAACTTACTGCACCTCTGTAGGGTTTGCCAATTGCACAGTGTCAGATAGGAAAGCACTCCAGAAGGTTAGAGTCATTGCCCAGAAGATCACGGGTTGCCCTCTCCCCTCTTTGGAAGAGCTTTAGAGCTCCTGCTGCCTTAAGAAAGTTCAAAACATCCTTGAAGATCCATCTCATCCTGGGCACCCCGCCTTTTTTTGAACTATTACCTTCTGGCAGACAGTACAGGACAATAATAAAAACAAGGACAAATAGGCTGAAAAACAGCTTCTATCCCAGGGCAGTAGCTCTTTTGCATTCTACAGTATAGTGCAGTGTTGGTGCGGTGTTGGGGTTTTTAGATTCAATGTGTGGAGGGTGAAGGCTGTGTGTGTTTGTGTTTATTTTCATGGTCATGGTCATGATGTGCACTGAAGATGGTGTTTGATTTTGTTGTATGAGGTGCAATGACAATAAAGTAAAGTAGAAATAGATACATTTGGAGTTTGCTTCTGCTAAATGTCATTAATGAAGGTACCGTTCCAAACCATGCTTTCTTTTCTATTTTTGAACTGATTAAAAAATTAGGATTTGATCAAGGACCTCAAGTCAGAGATCTCCGGAAACTTTGAGAAGACGATTTTGGCAATGATGAAAACGCCTGTCCGGTTTGATGTTCTGGAAATCAAAGAAGCTATCAAGGTTTGTATTTCAAATAAAACGATGCCTCTATCAATGTTTTGTCTGTTTCAGAGTTCATTTTGTCTTTCTCTCCTGTCTCCTTCCAAACTTACCCTCAAAATAATATTTTTCTCTTGGCTTTTTCTGCTGGCTATCAGCAGAAAGGCCTTGCATTCAGGCATGGCTTGCCTTGGCTTCTCTGCATCTGTCATACATCCCTTTTAGGTTATTGAAAGTGCCTTATTTTTTTTGGAATATGACACGTTTTTTCCATGCCCAACAATGGGTGGAAATGTCTGTGCATCTTATACAGCGAATGTTGCTGAAGCCCCGCCCACCCACTGGCCCCCACCACTCGGCCTCTGCCCCCCCCAGCAATTTGCCTCCTTGCAGTAAACATCCTGTTTCAGCTTCAGCACAGCCTAATTTAGCACAAGCAGCTGATTGTCAGTTGGATCGGCCTCCTGACCATCAGCTGTTTCACGCTGCAGGGATCGCCATTGCCTATTGCCATCTCTGTGCGCCCCATTTTTGGCCTCTGCACACCCCATTTTCCACCCATTCCAAGCCTGGCTACCCGTATGGGCTGAAAATGGGGCACACAGAGGCCAAAAACAGGATGCGGAGGCCAAAAATGGGACGCACGGAGGCATCGATAAACGATGGCAATCCCTGCAGCCTGAAACAGCTGGTTGTCGGGAGGCCGATCCAACCGACAATCAGCTGCTTGTGCCAAACCTAAAAAAGGCTGTTTGCTGCAAGGAGGCAAATTGCTGGGAGGCAGAGGCAGATTGTTGTTGTTTTTTCTTGCTTTCCTCCCCAAAAGTGTCTTACACTTTGGAGTGTCTTATACTCCGAAAAATACGGTATTATGTAAGTGAGGTGCAAAACATTCGAATCATAGTTTTGAATTTGAAATGCCCTATGTCAGTTAAGAAATGCCCCGTCACAAATGCAAAACTATCATTTTGTATGCAAAGTGGGGTGTTTTGAATTCACTTATGACTCAACCTCATCTGTTTTGTGCATTCCTAATGGTGTCTGTATCGAAGACAGATGATGATAGATAGATAGATAGATAGATAGATAGATAGATATGATTTAAGAACTGCAGTGATTCACTTAACAAAAGTGGCACGAAAAGTCATAAAATGGGACAAAACATGACTTAACAAACATCTCACTTAGCAACATGAATTAAGGTCTCAGTTGTGGTCGTAAGTGAAGGACTCCCTGTCTTACAGAGAGAATCTCCTGCATAATAATGAGAATAATGAGTCTTTCTCCCTCTGCTAGGGTGCTGGCACAGATGAAGCCTGCTTGATCGAGATCCTGGCATCTCGCGACAACAAGCACATTCAGGAAATCAGCCGAGTATACAAGACAGGTGAGTTTTATCGCTCAGAATCAGCCCCGATCTGATCTGGAGAGGCAGGTATGGTGAGGACCGAAAAACTGAGTTGTGGACATGGGTCTTGTGTTCTCCTAGAGGTGGAGTGCGGGGTTATGGGGCCATGGGGAAAAGTTCTCCATTTTTTTTTTTTTTTTGCTGGGTTGATTTATTGGCCCAGGACCAAGATGCAGAGTTTACATTTGGAAATATACCCTGTGGATATATTCCCTTTCTGCTAGGCTGCTGTGGATAGAAGGGATAGCCAGGCATGGCCAATAACTTGGGAAACAGCCCAAAAGAAAGGAAGGACTGAGATTTCCATCCAGTGGTGGGATTCAAACATTTTTACTACTGGTTCTGTGAGCGTGGCTTGGTGGGCGTTGTAGGGGAAGGATACTGCAAAATCCACATTCCCTCCGCACCCCACTAACCTGCTTTCCAGCTCCATTCTCCTGTGCAGGGCAACCAAAGAAGATCCAGCCAATCAGCTGGGACTCGGGAGGTGGAGAACAGATGGGGGCGGGGCCAGTCAGAGGTGGGATTTGCCGGTTCTCTGAACTACTCAAAGTTTCCACTACCGGTTCTCCAGAACTGGTCAAAACCTGCTGAACAGCACCTTTATTTCCATCCCTCCATAGGACGAAGAGGGGGGGAAAATTCAGGCTGGGTTTTAAGGACAAAAAGAAGGGCAATTCTGTATCTGTTGAAGTCCATCTGGGTGATATGTACATAGGAAGCACAATCCAGTGGTTAAAGCACGGAAATGGAGAGATTGTGAATTCTAGTCTCCTCATAGGCTGAAAGCTAGCTGGGTGACCCTGGGGCCAGACAAGGTCTCTCAGCCCTAGGAAGGAGACAATGAATGTCAATCAAATGGCAACTTCAAATCTCAACAAATAAATGCTCTGTCTTACATATTGGCAGAAAAAAAATCAGAAAATAAAATACAAGCTGAATAGTCAAGACCTTGTTGATGATCCAGACTCTGTCAAGGATCTTGGAGTACTCATCTCTAATGATCTAAGTGCTAGAGCCCACTGTAACTACATAGCCAAAAAGGCATTAAGAGTTGTTAATCTAATCCTACATAGCTTTTTCTCTGGTAATATCACACTACTAACTAGAGCATACAAAACATTTGCTAGACCAATACTCGAATACAGCTCATCAGTCTGGAACCCACATTACATATCTGATATTAACACAATTGAAAAAGTCCAGAAATATTTCACAAGAAGAGTTCTCCGCTCCTCTACTCATTGCAGAATACCTTATGCCACCAGACTTGAAATTCTAGACCTAGAAAACCTAGAACTACGCCGCCTCCGGTCCGATCTAAATATAGTATATAAAATCATACATTGCAATGTCCTACCTGCAAATGAATACTTCAGCTTTAATCATAACAATACAAGAGCACACAATAGATACAAACTCAAGGTTAACCACACTAAACTTGACGAGAAAATACGACTTCAGCAACAAAGTGGTCAATATTTGGAATACTCTACCTGACTCTGTGGTTTCTTTCCCAAACCCCAAAAACTTTAACCTTAGACTTTCTACTATTGACCTCACCCCCTTCCTAAGAGGCCTGTAGGGGGCGTGCATAAGCGCACCAATCGTGCCTACCATCCCTGTCCTATTGGTTTTTATTTTTCTTATAAATATCTATCTCATGTATTCAAAACTATATTTATTCTTATACCTGTATCTTGTAAGTGATTGACAAATCAAATAAATACTAAATACAAACCACTTCTGAAAAAGTCTTGCCAAGGGACTTGTCCAGGCAGTCTCTGAGAGTCAACCTCCTTTCTGTTTACATACTTTACATTTTTTCTAGTTTTGTTATTTTTAATATTTTAGTTCTCAATGCAGAAACTTTTTTTAGGATAAGCTTTTATGATGTGGGCTGGCCAGAGTTGCTTGACAGTGTAGTGGATGGGAAAGGGAAGGAAAGGGAAGGGAAGGAGAAAGAAAGAAAGAAAGAAAGAAAGAAAGAAAGAAAGAAAGAAAGAAAGAAAGAAAGGAAGGAAGGAAGGAAGGAAGGAAGGAAGGAAGGAAGGAAGGAAGGAAGGAAGGAAGGAAGGAAGGAAGGAGGGAGGGAGGGAGGGAAGAAAGAAAGAAGGAAGGAAGGAAGGAAGGAAGGAAGGAAGGAAGGAAGGAAGGAAAAGAAGACAGACAGAAAGAAGATAGATAGAAAGAAAGAAAGAAAGAAAGAAAGAAAGAAAGAAAGAAAGAAAGAAAAGGGAAGGAAAAAAGAAAGAAGGAAGGAAGGAAAAGAAAGAAGGAAGGAAGGAAAAGAAAGAAGGAAGGAAGGAAAGGAAGGAGGGAGGGAGGGAAAAAAGAAGGAAGGAAGGAAGGAAGCAAAAGAAAGAAAGGAAGGAAGAAGAAAGAAAGAAAGAAAAGAAAGAAGAAAGAAAGAAAGAAAGAAAGAAAGAAAGAAAGAAAGAAAGAAAGAAAGAAAGAAAGAAAGAAAGAAAGAGTAATGGGATCCTTGAATTTTCCACCCACTGCTGATATAGAAGAGAAACCGAAGTTTAATTTAGATGGAAAGAGGCAGCAAGAGTTCTTCTAGACGGGAACATGGCTTGTTTCCAGGCTCTGCCATCAGGAGCTCAATGGAAGAAAATGTCTGCATTGTTGAAAAATGAAATTGTTATGTGAGCACAAGGGTGTGGTGAGAAATTCCATTTGGGAATTCCTTGAATGCTCTTTCTTTCACTATTTTGGAAAAACAGTATTTTTTGAAGGGTAAAACATAAAATACATGTACATGTTTATGAAAGTGTTTCCACCCTAAACCAGATGCACTTTTATCTATAAATGTATTACACTCACTTTCTTTTCCTTTTCCCATTTCCTGGGGTTCCCTAATGTTGAGATAATACCCCTAAAAAAATCATAATTAAAACTGACTTTCCTTGGTTTTTCACAGAATTTAAGAAAACTCTGGAAGAAGCCATTAAAAGTGACACGTCTGGGCATTTCCAGAGACTTTTAATTTCACTCTCTCAGGTATGTAGATGATTATTCAATATCGTGTTTATGATTGCTTAATGTCATCTTCACAGATGTGTACCTTGACAAAGTCATGGACTAGAAATTTGGATCTAACTTCTAACCAGAGTTAAAAGCCAAATACTTTTAGCTACATTAAAGGGACATATGATGGTAAACAATATTCCTGATTTTTTAGCCAGCATTAGCTAAAGTAATTCTGATTGTGGCTTGTTTCAGCAAACCAGAACTTAAACCGAGTGAAGTCCTGATGAATGACAGTGATAGATGTTTTGACGAAATCAAGAAACGATCTGATTGAGACTTGAGCCATCGTGGAGCTGTCGGTGCTCTCTGATTTTGACTGTTTTATTGCAGACATTTCATGACCCAACTAGGTAACAACATCAGTAGATGGGTAATGAAACATCTGCAAGAAAAAAAGAAAAGAAAAGACAAAGACAGCATCAAGGGCTCCACAATTCAACTCTGAGTTACAGAGAGTCCCTTCTATTGGTACTCAACTCATTTTTACAATCCGAATTAGAATTCTTTATTGGCCAAGTGTGATTAGACACACAAGGAATTTGTCTCCGGTGCAGAAGCTCTCGATGTACTTATAACAAGAGTGATAGATCATAGTCATTGTAAAATATATATTCATCATAAATCATAAGATACAACACTTAGTGTTAGGCCAGGATACTAAATAAGCAATGAACATAAATCATACTTGGATACTAAATAAACAATTTAAACTGTAAGATACACGCAACAAGTTATAGTCATAAGAAGATGAGGTGACAGGTAATAGGGAAGATGAGAAAATGATGGTAATACTGTCTTTCTAGAAAGTTTGACAGTGTTGAGGAAATTAGTTGTTTAGCAGAGTGATGGCATGGGGGGAAAAAACTGTCTTTGTGTCTAGTTGTTCTGGTGTGCAATGCCCTATGGCAGTGAGGGTGAACCTTTTTGGCCCTGAATTCCCAAACCGGAACATGGGTACATGCCCGTGCATGTGTGTGTATCGGAGTGCTAGTGCGCACATGCCTATTTTTGGGGTGTTTTGGGGTCTGTTTTGGGCCATTTTCAAGCCTTTTGGGAGGTGTTTTTGGCTTGAAAATAGCCCCCCAAATGGTCTTGCCATTTTTCAGGTCTTTTCAGGCTGTTTTTCAGGCCAAAAATGGAGACGAGCTGGACATTGCGCATGTGCACACCAGAAACCAGAAGAGCAACTGGTGGTGGCACGCATACCCACTGAGAGGGCTCTGCGTGCCATCTCTGGCACACGTGCCACAGTTTCACCGTCACGGCCCTATACTGTCGTTTTGAGGGTAGAAGTTGAAACAATTTATGTCCAGGATATGAGGATGTAGACATTTTCACAGCCCTCTTTCTGGCTCTCCAGAAAGAGAGATTAACCCAAGGATTGGTCAAAGCAAATGGTGAAGCTTAATTGACCCTCACTCATCCTGAAAAAAGAGCTAACCGGAACAGGATCTCCTAGTAAAAATATCCCAGAAAAATAATCCTGATTCTGATTTCAAGAAAAATAAGAAGTATGGGTCTGTGTAGAAATTAAGCTCTCTACTTGAAGAAACCCTCCCTGCCATTTTATCTGTAATCCATCTGTTAAGGGGATTTCAGTTACATTTTATCGTGCAGTTTTGATATCCTGCAATCATAGCTCTTAAAGACTTTGCATGATTTCCCTCCCTCCGTTTTGATCAAGATAAATATTTTCAATATTTCACTGTGTAATGTGTAATGATAATGTACAAACACATCCGTGCTAGTTGTTTCTGGCTCTAGGAGGCGCCAGTGCTCGTCTCCATTTCAAAGCCGAAGAGCCAGTGGTCATGTGGCCGGCATGACGAAACACGGAAAGCGCACGGAATGCTGTGACCTTCCCACCAAAGGGGTCCCTATTTTTCTACTTGCATTTTTACATGCTTTCGAACTGCTAGGTAGGCAGAAGCTGGGACAAGTAACGGGAGCTCACTCCATTACATGGCGCTGGGGATTCGAACCACCGAACTGCTGATCTTTCTGATCGACAAGCTCAGCATCTTGGCCACTGAGCCACCGTGTCCCTGTACACATACTTTATACATGCTAAAATGAAAGGAGGATAATGGCCCGGCAACGTAAACCGATCGGCTTGACTAGCAGGCTCAGCAATGGTATTTTAAGGGTGTATGTACCTACAGTGTATATGTTTAAAATTGTAGTTTGTGTCTTAATATGAGCCTTTTTGAAAAAAAATTCCAGGGCAACCGAGATGAAAGCAGCAATGTGGACATGTCCCTTGTCCAGAGTGATGTTCAGGTTAGTATACAGCTGATGTACGCGTCTCACGTACATTTTTAAAAGATTTGCAGAATAAAATTGCTGACACCGAATGGCAAAACTTCTTTTTTTAAAAAAACCAAGAAATTACTTTTTACGCTGGATATTTTTGCCTGTAATGAAATCTAAGACCGGTTTTTAAGGCAATGCTTTACCTCCTAAAGGCAACTCCGTTATTTAATTTAGCTTTTATTTCCTTGTCCATCAATGCTTGCTTTTTTTAAAAAAAAGATTTCATCCTTTCTCTGGGTTCCTTTATCCGATCTAGAGACCATCAGGATCATAATTAGGCAGCAGGTCAAAATATTTATAAAGATCTTTATATAAATATAAAATATTTATAAAAAATATTTATAAAGGGATCAAATTATTCTACAAAGACTAGAGGGCAGGACAAGAAACAAGGGTTGGAAATTAACCAAAGAAAGAAGCAACCTGGAATTAAGGAGAAACAGTCAGGACAATTAACCAGGTTCCATCACTGGAAGTTTTTAAGAAGAGTCTAGACCAGGGGCGGGCAAACTACGGCCCACGGGCCACATCCGGCCCGTTGGTCTTTTTAATCTGGCCCGCCGAAGATTGGTACAGAATTAAGGTTTGATGTGAATGATTGAATGATTGCATTCATTTGATTTTGACTTGTAATAACAGGCATTTCGACACCAGGTGGCGGCCCGTCTGTCAAATTTTAAAGTCAATGAGGCCCCCGAGCCAAAAAGTTTGCCCACCCCTGGTCTAGACAGTCTCTTATCTGAAATACTATAGCTTCTCTTTCTTGAGCAGGGGGCTGGACTAGAAGACCTCCAAGGGCCCTTCCAGCTCTATTCCATTCAAGCTGTAAATGTTCTGTAAACAGGTAACATCGAAATAGTGAATTTTACTGATATTATGGAGGAAGAAAAATGGAAATGTAACACCAATCCTGTTTGGTTTTGCCATTCATTTATTTGGCGGGTACAGCCCAAGTTTGCCCTCTGGGTAATTCCATTCTTCAGGGCCAAAGTTGTTCCAATTAATAGTTCCAGGAATTAAGCCTTAATCTCAAAATTTCAGGAGAACAAAAGAATCAGCCATCAAGAAGAGCAACTAACTGGGTTGGGATCGTGAGATAACCCAATACTTTATCCCTTTTAGGCTCTCTATGCAGCAGGAGAAAGTCGACTCGGGACAGACGAATCCAAGTTCAATGCCATTTTGTGCACCAGAAACCGAAATCACCTAAGGGCAGGTAAATTGCTCAGTCTCTTAAATCCTGCAAGCAAGTCAAGGTGACATTCAGAGTTTATGTAATGTGACCCTCTGAAATACAAGCGATCCTTGGTATTTTCTGCGGATAGTGGTTACTAACCCTTACACTGAAACTTTGACGCAATTCAATACGTTTCTATTCAGGAGTAAGTCCACTAAGTCTCGTACGATTTACTCCCAGGTAAATATGCAGAGGTTTGAAAGCCAAAATGCTTTCACGTAGAACAAATATTGACTTTTTCATTTCGGTCTCTTTCTGCAGTTTTCAATGAATACCAGCGAACATGTAACCGGGATATTGAGAAAAGCATATGCAGAGAAATGTCTGGTGACCTTGAATCTGGAATGCTGGCAGTAGGTGAGTGATTTCTTGGTGGCCAAGACAAACCATCTGTCGGTTCGGTAGTTATTGAAAAGTTTCTTACTTTTGATACCTTGGCCCAGCAAATATTATGATATTCCCTTGATAGGGGAAGTTCCAATAAATGAAATAGTTATAGCTGAGAATTGAACTGTGGGACTCTTGCTGCTCTCTGAGTTTGGTTGTTTTCTTGCAGATGTTTCATTACCCAACTAGGTTACATCCTCAGTGCTAGAAGATAGTGGGATTTGTTATCTAGAGCAGCGGTTGCCCACCGGTGGGCCATGGCCCATTTGTAGGTCTTGAGAAAATGTTGGTGGGCCACAGAGAAATCTCACCCCCAGAGCACCCCCCCCAAAGCAATTAATCCAGGCTGTGCAGAAACACAAGGCTGCACTACCCACATGGCCCTCAGGAACCCTCCCTGTCCACTCACTCCTTACTGGCAAACTTGCCTGCTAAAATTTCTATTTTTCCTTTTTCCGACCATCATCTGTTCTGCTCTGCCAGGAGATTTAGATTAGCTAGGAAGCAGGAAATGGTTGGATTTCTTGCTTTCTAGCTAGTCTTTAGATCTTCGGCTCTGCTTCCCTTAGGACTGAAGATTTGCTTGCAAGTAAATTCAGCGCAGACTCACGGCAAGCAAATTTGAGAGACTGAGCTAGCCGATGGCAGATAGATAGATCACTGAATGATTCTGTGAGCAACTCAATCTGCCTGCTTTGCCTGATTTTTGGTAAAAGTTGCTCTTTTTTAATAAAAAAATTCAATATTTATATAAATATTTATAATATTTACATACAAGTCATGCCCAGCCAAGCCACACCCACAAATTAGGCCATGCACACAGAACTGGTTAGTGGTCCCTAGGATCTAAAATTATGAGTTTGGTGGTCCCTGAGGTCCAAAAAGTTGGCAACCCCTGGTCTAGAGCAGATCCCACTCCCTTCTAGCACTGATGATGTTACCTAGTTCCACCAAGCTCAGAGAGTACCAAGGACCCCACAGTCGTTGTCGTCGTCCTCCTCCTCCTCCTCCCCCTCTTCCTCCTTCTCCCTTCTAGCACTGATGATGTTACCTAGTTGGGTAATGAAACGTCTGCTGGGAAACCACCAAGCTCAGAGAGTACCAAGGACCTCACAGTCCTCCTCCTTCCCCTCTTCCTCCTCCTCCCTTCTAGCACTGATGATGTTACCTAGCTGGGTAACTGAGATGTCTGCAAGAAAACAACCAAGCTCAGAGGGCAGCAAGGACCTCATAGGGCAGAGGTCCCCAACTTCTGGGCTGCAGCCTGATACTGGGCCATGGCCCATTCAGAACCAGGCTACACTAGCAGTAAGCGACTGTGTGCACGCAGGTCTATTTGTGTGACCAGCAGACACTCACATGCACACCTGCCTCTCACATGGAACCATTCCTCCTCCCCAGTGCTGGTCCGCAAAGCAAGAAAGGTTAGGCAGCCCTGCCATAGGGGAAGTTCCTGAGAACTTAGTGTTGGTGTGATGGCAATGGTGTTGAATTTCGTTTTTACCAGTTCATTTACTGTATCTGTCTTGATCATTCTCTTGTCCATTTGTCTTCCCTTGCTCGGACTGATAGAGCATAGATGCATGATAAATAAATTTAGTACTTCAAGTAAATAAACAGTGAAATGGTTCCTTGAAAATAATATTTTGAACTTTCAGATAAAGGAGAAGAAAGTGCCATAAAGCACAGAATTCCTGTTTTATGAACAAAGAACATAACTAGCTGCACAGGGTTTGGGGGAAAATTTTAGTGTTTTTTCCCCTGTACTAAGGCTACTCTTAGTTGGCCTTAGCAACAGTTTTTGTGTGTGTGTGTGTGTTTCAAATCAAGTTTAATAAGTGCTTAAATATGAAAGGGTGAATTCCAAAATCTCACTGTGCCAAAGCAGAAAAACATTTTAGATCTTCTTTGAGAAAGTTGCATAACTATAATTTTGATTTGCAGTTTGATTCCTGAGACTTTTATCTGCCATTCTGGTGTTGTTGGAAATACTCCTTTGCATTCTACCATGAGTTAGAACTTAGTTAACCTAGGAAAATGACAGTCTAAGTACCAGGAAATCAAGAAGTGCCCATCAAAATGATGGCCTTAAGAAAATTGCCTGCTTTCCACCTCTCATCTGCAATTGTGCCAGATTGGATTGATAAAATATGATGCATGCAAAGCATTCTTGGAGATTTAAAATATGTGATAAAAGTGGTTATATAATTAAAAAAATGTTTTCCGTTGACTTTCTGCCCTGCCTACTGAATCTAATGAAAAAAAAATATCTGTGCTTCTCTTTGGCTTCATTAAGGATTGTGTATCTGGTAATTGTAAGCAGTGGCTGCGTTCATTTCTAGTAAATAGCTAGCGAGTAAGTTAAACGTGTGCTGTGTTCATCTCTATGACCCATTTCAATGTGGCTAATGAAAAAAGAGCATGTTGTTGTGTTACGTTTGCAGTGATGTTTGCTTTTGGTCCTTTCCAAGCAACCAACAATCCACTAAGGGCATTTTGAGCAATCAAGATGCTACATAAAGGGGAACAACATCATTAATACCATTAAGTGGGCCATTTTCTTTGACGTTGCTGTGCTTTCCTAGTATGAATTGATGAAGTGTCACTAATGTGTCGTCTCAATTTCCTTTGCAGTGAAGTGCATGAAAAACACACCGGCTTTCTTTGCAGAGAGGCTGCACAAGGCCATGAAGGTAACTAAGGCAGAAACCCAAAACACTCTTTAAAAAAAAATCATGTGCTCAAATATTCAAGGGATCTAGGCTTTATTAAGAAAAATGTGTTAGCTTACTGCATGGGTATGGAAGGTAGATGTGAGCTGGGCTTGCAGGATTAAGACCAGGATAGCTACAAATACATGTCACTATAGCAGAGGGAGGGAAGGCAGGCAGGCAGGCAGATAGATACATAGATGGTAGGTAGGTAGGTAAGTAGATAGAGATATGAGAGAGAGAGAGAGAAGGTAGGTAGATAGGTAGATGATAGAGAGACAGAAGGTAGGTAGATAGGTAGGTGATAGATAGTAGGTAGGTAAGTAGATAGATGATAGATAGATAGATAGATAGATAGATAGATAGATAGATAGATAGATAGATAGATAGACAGATGATAGGTAGGTAGGTAGATGAGAGAGAGAGAGAGAGAGAGAGAGAGAGAGAGAGAGAGAGAGAGA